ACTAATTAGTTTTGCAGGAAGTCACTGTGTGATTATCATTGGCTCACCCAGTGAATAACACTATATTGCCTGCTAACTCTTAGTTACTGAACGTTGTTCAGATTCTGTTTATTGTACTGAGAATGTTTTAGCCAACTTGTTGCTTGGCTTTGGAAGTGCAAACGTTCAATGAAATTCCATATATATCGAAAAGGCAATTATTATAATAGTCTCTTTGTAACAAAAAACAAAACAAAATGATATTTTAAAATTGCTCTCTGATGAAGCAAGGCTGTTTTGTCGTTTTCATAGTCAATGCATTAATACTTGAGCCCTTTAAAGGAACTCCAATTAACACATCGTGATGGCGCCCTCTAGTGGTAGCTAAAAACGCAAACTTGCGCCCTCGTGAATTAATTACTAGTAATATAAATCGGATAATAGTTATTTAGCTTGAAGTTTGTTTTATGTCCCCCAAAAGAAAGAACTCAATTTCAAGTTTAACTTGAAATTCAAGGGTATAATATCCCAACAAAGTACTTTATTTGTGGAGACAGGGATTTCTAATTGGTCACAATGTGAGTGGACGTTGATTATAACAAGCCTGTCGCAAAACACTAAGGAATATTATGTGTTAGCTTTATGTTGGCATGGAAGACATATTAGTATAACAACTGAAAAACAAAAATGATAGAGCATAATCAGGGAAATTCAATTGTTCCCCAAAGTAGGTTTACTTAACTACTTCTGGCTACTGTCAAGGCGAAAGGGCACCACCAAACAGAATAGGAGTAACCAGACATAATTTTTTCCGATCAATCTTTTTGTTTTTTTGTTTACACATCACACACTTTTATGATGGTAAACTTTGTTTTGATGGCATGTGCAACACAATGCAATATACATTACCATGTATGCTTTTCAAATGAACCATGTAACACGTATAGGCTGACTTTCTCCAGACAGCATTGTACATGATGACCAGTCAGACAGTTTAGTCAATGATAGGATTTGATTTGTTGAAAGAACCAGTCAGCAAATAAGCTGATTTCTGATTGGCTTGCTGTTAGGGATGCGTAGCCAATCAGACAAAATCTTCTAAGTCACTCTGACTTGGCTCCAACTTGGGTTTATTAAGTGACAAAATCATACGGATACAAATCAGAGAGGAAAGTCAAATTGTTCTTCACAGATATATAATTGATTTTTAACACCACACACCTGTTTACTTATATAGGTGGGCACCTAGACTTATATAAATTAGACGGAATATGGAGTAAATTAATATCAAACGAATCCAACTTTATAATAAACACTTTGTACTTGTTTTCATTACTGTTGGGAAATTCTGTTTTCCAATTTATTTATCAGAATCAGCTAGTTCGCACTATAAATATCCACATAATGGTAAAACTACAAAGTTAGGTAAAAGTATTCAACATATATTA